GGGATGGTATGTAGTACAGGAGCTGAATTTATATATTTCCTTGCCCAACAAGGTGGCGCTGAGGTCAGTGTTTCTATCCTCCTTGCTTGGAAGGTTACAGAGACAAGATTGGGTTGTTCCCTCCCCGAGGGTAGCTGGTATCTGATAAACCAAATTAACTAGGCTCTGGAGGTTCCTGTTGAGGCTGGGCTTTGCTAAGAAGAGCAGAGTGCTCTGGACTGTTGGCCAATGGTTCATTTCTCCTCTTTCTGCTGGAAACAGCAGATTTTTCTCTTATCTTTTCTTTGAGAACCTGATAGAGCTTCTGGAGGTAAAACTTGCAGAAGCACGTAGTCACCCATCATGCATCCATCTGTATTTTTTACCTCTTAGTTTTGTCTGCATTGAACCATAGCCATTTGCTAGTTATGGTTCAGATTTTCCTCGCTGCTCTGCTTCCCACAGATGCTTTTGCATGTTGGATTCTTCTGTGTGAAGTTGTGATTTGTTTCCATCCTGTCTGCCTCTCCTGTGTTTGGTAGCAGTGGTTTGCCATACCACCTCACTTCTCTAATGGATCTTAGAAGACTTGCTGATTATTCCGTTTTGTTACTGCTTGCTAGGGGAATGTGTGACTTCTGATACCTTTATCTGCCAGACTAGAAATGGGAAATCTTGGTAATTTTTAAGTTGTTTTTATTGAGATTTACTTAAGATGGCTCACATGTAGAAACTTCAACTTAAGACAAGTATAGATTAATATAGAAATGACCACAAAGATGATATAGAAAGTATCTATCATCTCTAGAAAGTTCACCAGTCCCCTGCTCAGTCAGTCCCTTCCCTGCCCTCAGTCTTTGCAACTGCTAACCTGCTTTTTGCTGCTGGGCTTCCATCTTCCTTCAAATGTCTGGGAAGTAGTCAGACTGCCTCTGGGTAGTTACAAAGACTTTTTTCCTGGGCTGGAGAGATAGCTCAGTGGCTAAGAATACCAACTGCTCTTGTAGAGGAGCCAGGTTCAATTCCTAGCACCTACATGGTGGCTACTAACCATCCTTAACTCTAGTTCCAGGGGAATCCGACACCCTCTTCTGACCTCCGTGGCACTGCATGACACAGGTGCACTCACATACATGCAGGCAATACACTCATACACATAAAATTAATAAATAAGCCGGGTGTGGTGATACACGCCTTTAATCCCAGCACTTGGGAGGCAGAGGCAGGTGGATCTCTGTGAGTTCAAGGCCAGCCTGGTCTACATAGTGAGTTCTGGGACAGCTGGGGCTACAGGGAGCACCTGCCTCAAAAACAAACAAACAAACAAAAAAAACAGCCTGGTCTACATAGTGAGTTCCAGGACAGCTGGGGCTACGGCTACAGGGAGCACCTGCCTCAAAAACAAACAAACAAACAAAAAAAAAACAAATAAATAAAAGATTTTTCCTGTTTTTATTCTGGAAATTTTGTGATTTGGCCTTCTACATGTAGGTCTATGATCAATGTTGATTGACTAGGTTCTGCTCTTACAAAATGACTCATTAGGAAATGTAAATCAGAAGTGCCCTATCACTTTAGCCCCACTGAATATCACTTTAATAAAAAAGAAAAACAGAAAATAGCCAGTGTTGATAAGAACATGGAAAAATTAGAAAGCTTGTGTGTTAAGGGTAGAAATAATAAACTGAAATCATGCTCTCAAGGAGAGATATCTGTACACCAGTGGTCATACCAATATAATTCACAATAGCCCAAGGATGGAAGCAACCCAAATGTCCATCAGTAGATGAATGGGTAAACAAAGTGTGGTATACACATACAATAGTTTTATTCCTGTCGTATGTTGCAATATAAGTGCAACTTGATGACATTATCTTTAGTGAAATAAGCCAGTGGAGGCTGCTTATACATTAATATCTTAGTATTTGTTGTTGAGAGTTAGAGTTTCTTTCCATGTGCCAATACATGTGATGTAAACCCTCCTCATCTGACTGGTCCTACCTTTTGTTCATTCTTTTGAGCTCTGCTTTTAGAATCTTTTTGTCTTTTTTTTTTTCTTTCTCTCCTGATGAGTAGCATGATGCCCTGGGTTTATGGGACTGCATCAATGTGTCTTTAGAAAGGAAAGGTGATGAGATGTGTAGGGAGGGGAAATGGTCTGTGATCTCATGATTTGGTCTTTGTCTTTTAGGGATTTTGTGCCCCTGAACTGTGAATTTCACAGACAATTCTCCATATTTTCCCTCATTCTTAGTTGGAACTGTGTGTAGTGTAGAAGCTGAATTTTATGTATTTTCTTATTTTATTTTAAAATATTTTTATGTGTTTGAGTGTTTTGCATGCATGTATGTAAGTGCACCTGTGTTGTACAATACACATGGAGGCTAGAAGATGGCATCAAATCCCCTGTAACCATGGTTGTTAGTTGCCATATGGGTGCTGGGAACCAAACCCAGGTCCTCTGTTAGAACAGCTGGTGCCTTTAACTGCTGAGCCATCTCTCCAGCCCTTTGAGTATGTAAGATCTCTCAGGTGATTGTTTTCTGAGTGGTCAGACCACTAATGAATAGCCATCTGCAGTCACTCTCACTGCTACCTGTTCAATGTGTTCCCTTTTCTACTTTCACAAATGTGATGATGTATATCATTTTTTTACCAGTCCCTTAAATTTTTTTATTTAATAGACCTGCACAAATTATAACAGAGAGTAAATACCTTATTTACATCATTTTTTTTTTAAATTTTATTTTTATTTTATGTATATGAGTATATTGCTTGTGTGTAGGTAAGTGTACTCGTGTCATGCAATGCCCACGGAAGACAGAAGAGGCTGTCAGATCTCCTGGAACTGGAGTTACAGACAGTTGTTAGCTGCCATGTGGGTGCTGGGATTCGAACCCAGGTCTTGTGCAAGAACAGTCAGTGTTCTTAAATGGTGAGCCATCTCTCCAGCCCCCAATGTACATCATTTTTATTATACTTTGCTTCAGGGTTTTGAATGCCTTGATTCTCTCTGAGCCTTTTGTTTTCATCAAGTTGGAAAATGCTTTGAACATTATTTCTTTAGTTAAAAGTTGTGTGTTTGTTGGTTTTAAGTTATTCTCTCTTCCTAGGACTCAAGTTACATTTATGTTAAATTGTTTAATATTGCTCCATAGATCATTGAGATTCACTCATATTTTGAGATCTTTTTAAAGGTTTCCTTTATTTTTTAGAGTTTTTTTTTTTGTCTGTGTTCTAGTTCATTAATCTTTTCTTCTATAGCGTCTAAATTTCCTTTAGTCTCATTTAGTGTGGTTTTAATTTCAGATACTTAATATCTAATTTCTAGAAACTTCTGGGTACACACATACACACACAAACACAATATGCAAGATCTGTATATGTTAAAAAATCTATATATTTTTCTTATGTATATATTTTTTTCTATTTAAAAAATAAGTACTGATATTATACATTGTACTTATTGCATGCCTAATTTTGTTACATTCTTTTAAAAATCTGTTGAATTTTGCCCTCATGAATAATTAAATTACTTAAATTTGAATTGAATTCTATAGATACTTAGTTTTAAGCTTTGCTGGATATACCTTGAGCAACTTTTACTCTGGTGCTAGTTTCAACTTGTACTAAGATTGTACTTTTTCTTAGGATAACCTAATGCTCCTTTTTCATAGGAGCATTCTGGCTACTGAGAACATGCATTATTCTGATTATGTTTGAGGTCTGGGATTTTTTCAGGCTGCTGCTTTCTGATGCTTCCTTTTCAGCTTTTGGGAATTTGCACTTATACAGGTCAGTGCTTAGTCAGTGACACCCCCCCCCATGTGTGTCTTTCTAATCTAGTATGTCTTAGTAATCATGCTGCCTTGGCCTTTCTAACTCTACTCGGTGTCATTTTTATTCACTTCCCCTTCTCCACTCTGTATTTGAAACCTTTTCTAGGCACTAAGCTAAGGCAATGATGTACCTACCTATGTTGTTTCACTTTTCTCTGGGATCTGGAATCTGTTTCTCAGTGTCAGAAACTTAGATTCATAATTTTGGTTTGTTCTACAGTTGTTAAAGGCCCTGGGTAAACCTTGCTATTGTTATCTGGGAGTGCCAGCCTTTCTGCTGTCGTGCATTTCCTATTTATGTTTAGAAAGAAGATGATGGGTATTCTCTGACATCTATGTGACCTGGTGGCCTTTGACTCTAAGTTTAAGGTTGTCTGTTTTGGTGTCTCATCGAAACCTGTGTTAGAAACCACAAGTTTTTGGAGGCACATGCTGTTTGGCCCTTGTATTTGTAATAGAGGAAGTAATGTCCTAAGTAGACAAATTACAGATTTTGTCTGGCTTATACCATAAGTTCTTAGAATGGACAACAACCTGGCCTTTGATTTTTTTTCTGTCAATGCTTATGATTTTAGGAGTATTCTTCAACTAATTTATTCTCGGCCTATTCTTTTCTTATTGTGACTCTATAGGCTTGAATTCTAGTCTGAGTCCAATAGGCAGTATGCTGAATGGGTTGGTTTGTTGCTGAGAAAATTGTCAAGGCATAATTGATACTTTGATTAGACTGAAAAAGGAAGATTTCAAATAATAGAAAAGAATTCTGGCTTATTCTAAAGATAAGGTTCTTGTGTGAAAGAGAAAAGCTCCACAAATAGTAAACCTGGTAGTGACTGAGCATTGTAAGACCACATGTGATAGGGGGACCATATGCCCTGTTTACTGAGGAAAGAGTAATTATTAACAGCATCCTGGTGTGGGTGATTTATTTTGCATGTATCTATATCTGTACACATGTGTAGGCATCTTGGTTTGAATGATTTATTTTATACATACACATGCAATATTTATATGTCATCCTACTTACGAGGAGCAGTTTACAGAATACAAGGTGCTGAGTCCTTGATTATTGTTGTTCGTTGAATGATGGATTTACTGTTTACTTTGTGTTTTGGTTAAACAGTGAATAGTATGTACTGTCTAATAAGAATATTGAAAGTTTTCTTTTGTATTTTTCTGCAGATGACCTCAATGCCACCCACCAACACTGTGTTTTGGCTGGTTCACAACCTCGGTTTAGTTCTACCCATCGAGTGGCAGAGGTAAATATCAATAAAGATGGGATTTAGCTTAATGGAATTTGGCAGAAGTAGCTGAATGAGCAATTTATGGTGGAACTTTGGGAGAATACTCGACAGGAAAATCACTTCCATCTAACTTGACTCTAGTCTTCTCTTGCCTTTTAAGCTCTGGGTTATGTTGGATGCAGTTTTGAAATATATTCACAGCATGAGATAAACATATTTTACCTTTTGGGGTTATGCTTCTTAAAAACTTTTTCATTACAAATGTTTATTGTGTGTGTACATGTGTGTTACATATGCATGTGTGCCACAGTATGTATGTGAGGTCAGAGAACAACTTGTAGGATTCAGTTCTTTCCTTTCATCATGTGGGTCCTAGGGATCAGACTCAAGTCATCAGGCTTGGCAGCAAGCCCCTTTACCTGCTGAGCCATCTTGGAGCCCAGGGTTTTATTTCATGAAGAAGGTAAATGCTGTTGGCAGATACTGCTAGTTCAAGATTTCTATGGGTCCTGTATCTGCTAAGGTCAAGGGTGGGGGAAATGAGGTGAATTTGTGTATACGTTAGCTGTGGTGGCTGAGAATCAACATTTTCCTTCGCTGTTGGCCAGACATCTGGACATACAAATGTAAATTTAGGAGAAGCTTATGAGTGGTATCAAGAAGGTTCTGAACTCCCTAATCATGTTCATAGCCCAAGCATTCTGCTGGGCAGTGGCTGCTAGTCCACTGAAGAGACTAGATCAGAATGGAAAGTTAAGAGGTGAGGAAAATCTCAAGCAGTCAACCTAGGACCCTAGAGTGCAGGGGTAATGACAAGAATTACAGATTGACTTCTTCTCCGAGCTTGCTTAGTTAATTATTTAACTAATTTCAAGGTGTTGGGGATTGAATCCAGGGCTACTTACACAGTAGGTAAACACTCTGCCACTGACCTGTAGCCCCAGTCAGCTTATTGACTGTGCTTTGCCTCACAGCTTGACTTTTTTGAGAATACAAGGGGAAAAGTATAAGAATGGTGGACAGAAGGAATACAGCAAAGTGTCAGAGAGGCACAAGTTAAGACCTTCTCAGTTCTGAGATTGTGCAAGGCTTCACGAGGCAATAAAGCAGCACCACATCTTACCCATGGACTGTATGCCATGACTCAGTGTGGCAGACAGGGCATGAGTGTTTTTGTATGCTAGCAAGCCCACCAGCCATTTTTTTCTCTTTGCTGTTCATTCATTCTTTTAAATCTTCCATGGCCTGTCCTATGTCCTATATTACAGACATGGGAGAGAGAGCCATGGGAATATCTGCAGAGTGCTTTAAAAATATTCTGTCTTTGGTCTGGTAACAGTACTTTTAGGAATCAAATCTAGGAAATATTTTAGTAGAACGGTATTGATGAAGAGGTTTATCCAGTGCAATCAGATGACAGGGTTATACTTTTATTTAGAATTTTTTCATTTCATTTTGTTTCCAATAGTCAAATAAGGAAGAGATTAATTTTATAAAGACCAAAGTTAGATTTTTGTTTCCCTCCATAGAAGAAAGATGCATTCAACTTAATACTGTTCCCTTAGTCCAGAGCTGTCTTCTCCTTCTTGCAGTATTAACATCGTGTGGCTTACCTGTGCTTCATCCTCCAAAGTGATTTCTGTTCTACCTGTTCACAATGAGTAGAAGTGGGTTGTCTTAAAGACATGATGTTTTGAAATTCCTTTTAGTTAACTGAACGAAATGTATTTAGATTTTTGATTGCACATGAACAGCACTGTGCCTATTGGTTCTTAACTTTCATTTGACTGTAGTTTTATTTCCAGTTTAATCCCCAGTGATGGAATGTTTTGGAGAGTCAACACAATGTGTTTTTAGAAACTTAGTTTCAATACTAATTCAAAATTCAAAAAGTATCCACGGTTATATACTGTCTTTTCTTTCAAATCATCTAGTTCTGCCATTCTAGAAGTAACCAAATGTCTTCAAATTTTTGTTATAATTTCAGTGATAATATATATCTCTAAAAGACACAGACACACACCAGTATTAGCCTGTCCTGTATGCTTTGTTTTGTTTTAGAAACCTTACTGGTGAGAATTATTTACCAACTATTAATTCTCATCTTGGTGTGGGTATTAACTTTTTTAGATATCACATGAAAAGCATTAATAACCCAAGGAAAAAAATAGAAAAATTGGACTGCATCACAAAGTTAAAAATTCTTTGTACTTAAAAGTGAACTTTCAATAGAGAAAATAGTAGGACCATAGGAGAAGGGTATTTTAAGGGAGAAAGGGGGAAAATGGGGGCACCTTAATTGGGGAAACCATG